CCCACCAGCCGACCTGCTGTCTGGCCCTGTAAAGGTTTAGTCTAACAAACCCTATAACGAGTGACTATGTGTTGTTATCGACTTGATGGCATTGGATTTGGTTTTTGGTTTATAGACAACTATTGCAATGCATGATTATGACTGTCTTTTTCCATTAAGGACACTATGGGACAATTAGCAAAATTTAGAATAAGGTTTGTAGATAAGCTAATAATATTAATAGTATTGATGTTAATTTCCTGGTTGTGATCACAGTGCTGTGGCTTATGTAAGAGAATTACTTTGTTTTTAGAAAACACAGAGACCCAGAAAGAGAGGGACAGAGACCCAGAGAGAGATGGGGACAGACATCTAAAAAGAAAGGAAACAGAGATTTAGAGAGAGATGGGGACAGACATCTAAAAAGAAAGACCCAGAGAGAGAGTGGACAGACATCTAGACAAAGGGGGGCTACAGAGACCCAGAGGAGGGGTCGGGACAGATGCTTAAGATAAAGAAAACAGAGTCTGAGGGCGTGACTGTCGTGTGTTGCTTTTTGGTTTCGGGTCAGACATCTAATCCTGGGTGATTTCGGGTCTCCACTCATTGTGTGTATGACCAAGGAGAAAGCGCTGAGCCTCCTTGTCTGTTCCTCCACCTGAGAAGTGGGGAGAGGGGTGCTCCGCCCCTAGGGGATTTCAACAGTCCGCGATCCTCAGACTCCGGGCTCTGAGCGCCGCTGAGCTGCCAGGGTGCCAGGTGGGCTCGGAAGCTGACTCGCGACTGACACGAGGGGGCGGGGCACTTTCCATAGCGCCTTTCCTCCCTCCTCCAGGCTCCGCCCCCAGTTCCCGCCGCCCGCCGGCTACCCGCTCCCACTCGCTCCGCGTGGATCTCTCAGGTCCAGACTCACCTGTGCGCTCACGCGAGTTCCGCGGGGCTGTTGGGCCTTCCCTCCCTCCAGCGAGCCGCGGAGTGCGCCTGCGCGGTCGCCGTCTTTGACCCGTAAGTCCCGATACTTTAAACTCGGCTCCGCAACTAACTACATTTCCCGGAAGACAGCGGCTTCGCGCTCCCTTCGGCCTCAGGTGCCTGAAACCATGGGAATGCTGGGAAATGTAGTTTTGTCGTTGGATGAGTCGCAGGAGAGTGTTAGGAATAAGCACCTGCTTTGTAGCTGGGCGAAGCTGATATTGGGGGAAAGTCTAGCTGTACTGGCACTTTGAATATCCTCATTTTAACTAGAGTCTTTTTACTACTCTGATCAGGAAGCGATAAGTCTAACTAACACAAATTTCTTCTACAGCGTGTCCCACACAGGGGTTGGTGGGTTTGAGTCACTAACCTTTCCACTGGAGTCTTGCAGTGGCCCTATGGATTAATGTACTGAACTGCATAATAGGTTTGAACCGCAAAGTCGGCGGTGCAAGCTCACCAGCCACTCCTTGGAAACCCTATACATGGTTGCCATGGGTCGCAACGACTGGACTCCACAACACTTAACAACAAATATTTCCGTTGGCAGCTAAGTACTTAACCACTGCACCACCAGGGCTCCTTAATACAAACATGTTCTAGTTAAGTGCCATTGAGTCGGTTCCAACTCCTAGAGACCCTGTATAAGGTTACCAAGGAACCGCTGTTGAATTTGAACCACGGACCTTGCGTTCCAGGGCATTATCCCATAGCACCACACCAGGACTCCTAATACAAACACATGAATAGTTTTAACACTAAGAAAGTACACAATCAGAAAAGGATGGTGAAATCCACACAAAGATTTGTAAGTATAACCTAGGGTACCTGGCAGGGCAGTCTAGGTCTCTCACAGTCCGGGGTCTGCCTCAGATGCCTCATAACTTGCCCATTACCCATAATCTGTTGCCACGCAGCTAGGCTTTATTTCAACTCCATCAACCTAGTTGTTTCTTTAACTCCCTAGTCTTTCACCCTTTGGGCTGTTGTTATAGAAAACTCCATAACTATACGTGACTGAATGATTGAATGGTGTGAATGTGCCTTGTAAGGATAGCTCTTACTGCTTTTTGGTGTCATTGAGTTGATTTTAACTCATAGAGACAGACCCCATGTGTTCAGAATAGAGCTGCCCCAGAGGTTTTCCTAAACTGTTACAGTTCTCTGTCCTACAAGGTGACTATGTGTTGGAATCTACTTGAAGACCACTAGTGGGGAGTGAAATAAAAGCAAATCTACAGCTCTTTCTCCTCAGGGCCACTGGCTGTGTTCGAGCCACCAGCCTTTAGGTTAGCAGCCAAGTGCTTAGCCTTGTGCCACCAGGGCTCCTTAGCTTTCTGGCCCTGTAGGATAAGTCCTCCAGGTTTGGTGCTGTAGGATCAGCACTGGACTGTGAACCTCAAGGTCAACAATTCAAACCCACCAGCGGCTCCTTGAAAACCCTAAACAGGGTCGTTAAGAGTCAGAATCGGCTCGAAGGCCCTTAACAACAACAACAAAAGTGTAAGCACTTGGACTACAAGGTCGACTATTCAAACCCAGCAGTCCCTCCTCAGAAATCCTAAACAGGTTCCCTATGAGTTAGAACCAATTCCCTTGCACTTAACAATTACTGTTGTTCTGATGAAATGCCGTTGCGTTGGTTTTGACTCATAGCAACCCTGTCTGCGGTTTCCAAGGAGGGGCTGGTGAACTTAAACAGCCAACCTTGCAGTTCAAACGGACCTTGCAGTCCAGCGCAGTAACCCGCAGCACCACACCAGGACTCCTAACAATAGTCCCTTGTGTGTTCCTCCATTGTTGTTGGAGTCCTGGTGTGGCACTGTAGGATAAACACTGGTTTGAACCACAGAGTTGGCAGTTCAAACTCACCAGCTGCTCCTTGGAAACCCTATAGAAAGTTGCTATGAGTTGGAATTGACTAACAACACGAACAATAATAAACAGCAATGGCATCTATCACATTGGAATGTGATTGGTTGTGTCTGACTATCCTTTGGGTTTATTGCTCATCCCAAGGAGTCCTGGTGTGGCGCTGTGGGCTAATGCATCACTCTGCAAAGTCATTTGAACTGCAAGGTCCTTGGTTCAAGCTCACCAGCCGCTCTATCACTATGGGTCGGAATTGACTTGACGGCACTTAACAACAACAAGGCCTGGTACATAAGTTGTTTTGAAGGATGTTTATTGAATATTCTTAAAAACAAGTTGTATATATGATTATCTTTGTCCAAGGTACTTGCTGTTCCTTGGGTCTAGAATACTTCTCCACTATTTCTTTGGAAAAACTTTTTTTTTTTTTTTTTCTAGAGCAATCTCTCACACCTTCTTCTCTGGGAGACTTTTCCCAGTTCCCACCCAGTCGGAGTTGGCAACTGCCTCTCCTGGGTTCCCACAGGAATATTCCAGTATCTGAGCGCTGTTACTCTAGTAATTGTTGGGTTGTAAAGATTTGATAACTCTGTCTCTCTGCTCTCCAATCTGTGTCCCCTGGGGAACTATCACGACACTATAATTATACCCAATTTAATTATCCATTTATTGTGCACGTCTCCCATGAAATTCCCAGGAGGTAAAGGGAGTGGTTGAATCTGTATCAAAAAGATAGTTAAGAAAGAAAGAATGAATAAAAGTACTAATCAAGTACCTGGGTGGGCATTAACCACTCTGTTACCAACCTAAGGATGACGCTTCAAATCCACTCATCTGTGCAGTGGAAGAAAGACATGGCGATCAGCTTCCTTAAGATAAAATTAACAAGTCGATTCTGAATCATAACTATCCTAAAGGAGCTCTGGTAGCGTAGTGGTTACGAATCAGGCTGCTAACCTTGGGGTCAGCAGTTCGAAACTACCAGCGGTTTCGTGGGAGAAAGATGAGGCTTCCTGCCCCCCTAAAGATTTACAGCCTCGGAAACCCTGTACAGGGTTGCTATGAGTCAGAACCGACTCCATGGCACAGAACCATCATCACCGGGACAGAGTGGAATTGCTCCATAGAGTTTCCAAGGCTGTGATCTTTCCAGAAGCTGAGTGCTTCATATCTTTCTCCTGAGGAGCAGCTGCTATGTATGAATTCTGACCTTTGGTTAGTAGTCTAATGCCTAACCTATGGCCCCACTGGGGCTTTCATTTCTGAACATGCTAAAGAGCTGTTTGTTTTGATTTTGTCGTTGTGTGCACCATCCAGTTGGTTCCGACTCAAAGCAACCCTGTATAGTGTTTCCAAGAGCAACTGGTGGGTTTGAACTTAAATCTTGCAGTTAGTAGTCCAGTGCTTATCCTGCAGCACTACACCAGGTTGTTGCTGTCCCCATCAATTCTATGGAGTATATTCCTAAGGCCCAAATCACATTCTATTATGAAGGCGGCTGTGTCCACAGATGAGTCAGTGTAAGCCCTTCAGGAAGGCCCAATAGGGTAGAGAAACAGTGCCGGGCACTAAAGAGATTCTTGGGGATGGTGCTGTTATTGTTAGGTACCGTCTAGTCAGCTACCCCTCATGGCGACCCCATGTCCTACCAAAGGAAGCACTGCACCATACTCAAAATCATTATGTTGTTGCGAACACTGTGTCCATCCATCGCCTTATATAGGTCTTCCTGTTTTTTTGCTGACCTTTTACTTAACCAAGCATGATGTCCTTTTCCAGGGACTGGTGCCTCCTAACATGTCCAAAGTATGTAGATGAAGTCTCATCATGCTCACTTTCCAGGGAGCATTGCGGCTGCACTTCAAAGACAAATTCGTTTGTTCTTCTAGCAGCCCGTGGTACGTTCAATAGTATGTCCCAACACCGTAATTCGAACATATTGATTCTTTCTGTCTTCCTTGTTCATTGCCCAGCTTTTGCAGGCGATTTCAAATTTCCATGGCTGTGTCAGGCACAGCTTAGTTCTCAGTGATATCTCTATTTAACACTTTAAAGAGGTCTTTTGCAGCAAATTTGGGGGTGATGAGGTGTCACCAAAAAGCTGACAGAGACAAGGGCGGAATTTGTCACAAACTTTATTTACTAAATTTCCTTTCCTTTTCCCTTCCACACCCCTATTGCAGCAGGAGCCTTCGGTTTTGCCTGTACATGTAAGCCCTGGCCAGAAAAAAAAACAGTCCGAAGGTTAGAAAAAAGAATTTTAGGCTCCTCCCTATCAACGAGCCCCCGACTCTCCTCCAATCATTGGTATGATTCAGCCTATCAGGAGGTGCCAATGATATCATAGGTCTCTGGGCAGATTTCTGGGGTTCTCAGCCAATCAGTTTTGGTACACAAGGAAGAGGGCGGGGGGGTGAGAAGAATCGGGAATAGTAGGAGCCCTGGTGGCGCAATGGTTAAGCACTTGGCTGCAAACGGAAAGGTGGGCGATTGGAAACCACCCAGTGGCTCCCAGGATAAAGAGTTGGCGATCAGCTCTCATAAAGATGACAGGCAGAGAAAGTCTACGGAGCAGTTCTGCTTTGTCCTTTGGGGTCGCTATGAGTCCGGGATCTACTGGACAGAAGATGTTATGATTTAAATTTCCAGCGTCCAGAATGGATGGGGGTGGGAGACATCAAAGGAGAGACCCTAAGAAGGGATGACGAATTGGAGGGAGAGACAGGCTAAGAAAAAAGGAAGGTTAGTGGAGAGAGGAGAGGCAGAGAGGAAGAAACGGAGAAACAGACCCGGTGGAAGAATTTGGTGAGACATTCAGAAAGGGGGCGAAGGAGGGAGAACAGGTAGAGCTGGGGACAGAGGACAGACAGACAGACCTGGGGTAGAAGCTGCAATGGAGATGCAGACACCAGGAGAGAAAGACTGTCAGGGAGGACAAAAAGAGAGGGAGGGAAGGAGAGAGGAACCCCAAGCCAGTTGCTGTGGAGTTGACGCTGAGACATGGCTCCCCCGTGTGGCTCAGAATAGAACTTCACTCACGAGGGTTTTCAGTGATTTTTTTTTTGGAAGGTAGATTGCCAAGCCTTTTTTCCAAGGTGCCTATTGTTGTTGATGTTGTGAAGTGCTGTCGAGTCGGCTCCGACCCATAGAGACCTTGTATAGGGTTTTCGAGGAGCAACTGGTGAGCTTAAACCGCCAGCCTTGCAGTTCAAACGGCTTTGCAATCTGGCGCATTAACCCACAGCGCTACACCAGGACTCCGAGGGACCTATGGTTAGACTCAAATCTCTAACCTTTTGGTTGGCAGCTGAGAATTTCACCATTTGCATCTTCCAGGGTCGGGACTAACTGTCAATGTAAAAATAAATTAACTGCCATCAAGTCAAATCAGACTCCTGACGACCCATGTGTGTCATAACAGAACTGGTCAACGTTGGGTTTTCAATGACAGATATATTGGAAATAGATCATCAGATCTTTCTTCTGAAGCATCTCTGAGTGGACTCAAATGTCCAACCTTTCAGTTAGCAGTTGAGTAAGTTAACCGTTTACACCACCTAGGACTCCAGACACAGAGAAGAAGAAAAAAAAAAGCGGGGGTAAAAACAGACATGAAGAGAGAGGGGAACTCGTGGGGGCACTTATGGGACTTGGGGGAAGGCAGGAGTGACTCACGAGATCAAGATGGCCACGAAGAGGAAGACAGACAGAAACACAGAGATAGTGATGCCCAACGCAGCCTGGTCCTGAGGGTAGTGACTCTTGGTGTTGTATTGCAGGGCCATGCGGGGTTGCCTATTGACTGGGGCGGGTGGGTGAGACAGCCCAACCACAAAGTAACTACCCTTCCTTGGCCTCCACCCTCACCTACCTGCTCTCTCTACAGCCCAGGGCATATTCTCTCTCCCTCTCCTTTCTTGGGGCTTGATAATAATATCCTTTCCTCCCTCCTCTCCCCTCCCCAGCCTTCCTCAAATTCTCTCCTAGGAAAACAGCTATGTACTGACAAAGTTACCAAGAAATATACCTCATATCATAGCTGTAAACCCCTCAACGAAACATTAGCAAAGTCACTCCAACAATGCATAAAAACGAATTACACACAACGATCAAGTGGGATTTATCCCAGGAATTCCAAGCTGGGAGTGAGGGGAACAGTGTGATAGAGAGAGGGAACAGCATGTGTAAAGGTCCAGCATGGCTGTTTAATCTTGATGGATAAATGGTCCTGTAAGGATGGTGGTGGCGGCAGTTGGGTGCCCTTGGGTTGCTTCCAACTCATCGGGTTTCTAGGGCTGTACATCTTGACAGGAGCAGCCAGCCTCATCTTTTTTCTGTGGAGCGGCTGCTAGATCTGAACTGCAGGTAGTCCACCTCATAATCCACAATGCTACTAGGGCTCCTTGCTGTAAGGCTACATTGGGATTAAAAGTATTCTATTTTACTCTCTGACCGAATGAATGAGTGACTTGTATATATTCTTCTGAATTCCACAAATACAACGCTGGCACTGAGGAAACTTTTTTTTTTTTTGCACCTACCGGAATGGCAAGGAGCTCTGGTAGCATAGTGGTTACAATTCAAGCTGCGAACCTTAAGGTCAGCAGTTCGAAACTACCAGCCACTCTGCGGCAGAAAGATAAGGCTTTTTGCTCCCGTAAAGATATACAGGCTTGGAAACCCTGTACAGGGTCGCTATGGGTCGGAACCGACTCGATGGCACTTAACAACAACAACAACAACCAGAATGGCTGGTAGTGTAGTGGGTTAAAAGCTGGGCTGCTAACCGCAAGGTCAGCAGTTGGAATTTACCAGTTGCTCCTGCTTTTTGCTTCCATAGATTCCAAAGATTTAAGCCTTGGAAACAAACCCTCAACAGGGTCCCTGTGAGTTGTAATCAGCTTGATGGCACACACTGTTCTGGTGTTAGGGACATTGTAAAGTTACGGAGGAGTCTTCCCATTTAATGGAAGATACTCCTGGTGTGGTCCTGTAGAATAAGCACTTTATTGCTAATCTCAAGGTCTGTGGTTCAAACCTACCAGCTGCTCCTTGGAATCCCTATACAAGGTCACTATGAGTTGGAACTGACTCGATGACACTTCACAACAACAGACAGCACTCAGACTATGGACATGGTTTCTGGATCACACTGTATGCAAGTGGAGAGTGCAAGGTTCAAGGCTTCACTCATCTGGGAGACTTCAAAACCCATATTCCTGAGGACATGGTTTTCGTTCGTCATCTCTCATGGGCCTGTCCTAAGTCTCCTCTACCCCAGGACCTTACCGAAACAATAATCATATCCGATACATTGAGGAATGATCTTCTGGCAAAGAAAACAGTCCAAGACTTCTTCTTGTAGCATATCTGCACCAGGGGAAAGAGGAAAATGCTCTGAGAAGAATGTCCTCATGATGGTCAAGAGATGGAAAGGAAGGAGGAGAGAGAGAAGATGGGGTCTCTTGGCCCTCTTGACTTTGGAGGTCCCATTCCCCCACAAGGAGTCCCTAGGTTCCCGGGTGCGAAGGGAAAGGTTGGCAGTTTGAGTCCAGCCCAAGGCTTCTGGAAAAAAGGCCTGAACATCTACTTCCCAAGGAGCAGCTTCTGAAAATCTTACAGAGCCACAATTCTACTGTGGCACACACAGGGTAACCATGAGTTGGAATCGATGTGACAGCAAGTGCTTTTTAAATGGATTCATCTACCGCAACATAGGCTGAGCAAAATACATTGACAATTCACATTTAAAATATTCATGTAATTATGTTCTTGTTAAAGGTTGTGGAGTCGGTTCCATTTCATAGCCATCCTGTATAGGGTATCCAAGAAACAGCTGGTGGATTTGAACCACCAACCTTGCAGTTACTAGTCTAGTGCTTTTCCTACAGCATTAAACCTATTGTTTTTGTGAAGTGCTGTCGAGTCGGTTTCGACCCATAGCGACCCTGTAAAGGATTTCAGAGGAGCAGCTGGTGAGCTTGAACCGCCAACCTTGCAGTTCAAACAGCTTTGCAGTCTGATGCATTAACCCACAGCGCCACACCATCACACCTATGCCGTTGAGTTGGTTCCGATCCATAGCGACCCTGTACAGGGTTATCACACCTATAGAGGGGCTGAATTGAGTTGCAACTGTGTAGTTGTCCCAAACATTCTATTTGTAGACATTAAAACCTTTGTTCATTTTGATTTTGAGCTTTTCTATTCCAGTTTTGGAGTCCTTGTGTGGCGCTGCAGGAAAATGCACTGGTGGACCACAAGTCAACTGCTAGGACAGCGGTTCAAATCTACCAGCTGCTTCTTGGAAATCCTATACAGGGTCGTTATGAGTCGGAGCCGACTCGATGGCACTTAACAACAGTAATTCCAGTTTTGAAGTCTGCTGGATGGTGCAGATGGTTAATGTGCTTGGCTGCTTAAAAGTTGGAGGTTTGAGTGTACCTTGCAATAAAGGCTGGTGGTCTATTTCTGAAAGATCACAGCTTTGATCTTGGAGCACAGTTCTCTTCTGACACTCGTGGGGTCTCCAGGAGTCAGAATCACCACAGTAACTGGTTTGGGAGTTCTATCTTGGTGCCCCTTTGTAACAGAGGCTGACTAAATACTGACTCAGCGGTCTTCTCAGGCTGTGCATACAGGAAAACTACATTTCCCAGGCTCCCTTGCTGTAGGTTGCAACCATGTGATTGAACTCCATTCAATAGAAAGTGGGCGGGTGATGTACACCGTTTCCACACCTAGCCACAAAGCTCCCCGCTTTTTTCTTTTTCTGACACAACATTGTTGTTGTTAAGTGCCGTCGATTCCGACCCATAGTGACCTTGCATAGTGACCCTGCATAGGGTTTCCGCGGGAGAAAGATGAACCGCAGAACCGCTGGTAGTTTCGAACTGCTGACCTTGAGATTAGCAGCCCGATTCGTAACCACTACGCTATCAGAGCTCCGGTGTTCTGGTACAACTTTGGAAGCTGCAAAATGGGGGCAGCCTGGATCCATTAGCCATGACTTGGAAGAGCCATGCAATTCATAACGCAATTTGCATGAGAGAGAAATCAAACTTTGTTGTGTTGAACAACGAAGATTTGGAAGGTTATTTATAACTACAACATAGCCTATCCTGAACCACCCCAAAAAGAATTTTTTGCAAGTTGCAACCAATTTCCTAAACCCTCAAAAAGCAGGTACCCTTGGGTACTATGGCTTTGGGGCAGGGGAGCCACTGAATGGAGTAGGTGTGACAGGAGCGGTTGATTTGGGGGAGAGCCAGTGGGTGTCAAAGGGTAGAGAAGGGAAGGATAGACAATCAATGCAGAACTCACGGCAGATTTTGGGATGGCAAGCTGCAAGAGAAAAGAGCTAATATGAGTTAAGTTGGGGCAGGAATTTGAGAATTAAGAAAGGGTCAGGAGAGTGTAAAGGTGAGTCTGGGGACGGAGAGAAAGAAACCTTAGGGAGGCTGAGTCAGAGAGGAGTGGAGGAGGGAGTCGGAGAAGAGGATTAAGTGAGCCCTGGGGAAGGAGTTCTGTGGAGAGGTGGGGTTACACCTTTGACTTCATATTCTTTCAAAGCTTTTTTGAGTTCCTGGAGCACATTCCGCCTAAAAATCACCAGCTGTTCCAGCAGGGGCTCATCTGAGGAGAGAAAAAGACCTTCATGGGGTGGGAGGCACCCAGTCAGCATGTCCCACCTGCAGTTTTCAAGAGAAGGGCTGAGGAAACTCTTAGTGCAGCCATAAAATACCACAAAAGTCTTCAAATTTAAACAAAAATTCTTTCTTCAACCTTCAGAAGGCTCGAAGTCCAAATTCAGGGCTTCGGCTGAAATGAAATGACATTCCCTTCATCTTTCAGTCAATAGTAGCTGCTGGCATCCTTACCATCCCTGGGCTTGCAGATGCTTCTGTCTCCATCAACAAATGGAGTTATCCTATGTGTGTGCCTGCCTGTCTCCCAGTCCACCTCCCCTATGTCATTGTACCAGCAAGGCTCCTTAGTCTATGCTAATAATGTGATTTATGGTGGGGGCCTTCGGTTATACAATAGCAGCTTGATTTCTGGAGGGGCTGGAGACCAAAGTCAACCACATGAGTGGTCAACCACATCTACACAGCTGACTCCCAATAAAAACCCACGGGTGAGCGTCCCTGCTTGGCAGAATTCTGTGTATGTTGTCACACATGCTTGCTGGGAGATTTAAGCACTCTCCTTGTGATTCTACTGAGAAAGGACAATTGGACACTTGCATCTGATCGCTCCTTTTCTTTCTTTTTTTTAAGGTTTGTATTGTGGATTGAGTGAAAGCTTACAGGGCACATCATCAGTTTCACATTCAACCATTCATATTGATTGCTCCTTTTCGTTGTGCCTTTTCCCATTGATTTTAATCTGTGTCCCTTCATTGTGATAGACGCGAACTATGAGTAGAGTAGCTTTCCTGGGTTCTGAGTCCTCCTAGTGAACCACTGGACCTGAGGCTGGTCTCGGGGACCCTTAAGCACATATATATCTTACCGATTTTTCCTGTTTCTTGTCTTCCTTACCTTCTAGCAGGTGAGCTCCACAGTAGTAGGGATTTTACCTTGCTGTATACACTGGAGTAGCTCCTGCTACTACAATAGTGGCAAAGCATAGAGGACCTAGCACATATTGTGGGTGAAGCATTGCGCTGCTAACCACAAAGTTGGTGGTTTGAACCCACCAGCTGCTCCTCAGGAGAAAGATGACAGTGTCTGCTCTGGTAAAGATTTACAGTCTTGGAAACCCTATGGAGCAATTCTACTTTGTCCGCTAGGGGCCGCGATGTTCAATAAATATTTGTGGAGTGAATGAATTGGCTGACTTTTTAAGCACGATGCCAGCTAAACATCTATAACCACCTAAGTGTGTCTTAGGAGTCCTGGTGTGGCCCTGAAGGATAAGCACTGAGCTTCTAACCACAAGATTGGCAGTTCAAACCCACTAGCCGCTCCTCAATTACTATGAGTCGGACCTGATTTGATGGCACTGAACAACAATGAACTTATCAAGTGTTGCTAGAAACACCATGATCTGGTGGGTTTGAACTACCAACCTTGTGATTAGCAGCCCAGTGCTTAACCTATATATAGCACCACCAGAGCTCCTTAACCACAGATACAGGGTTTAGGGTTTACGACACATCTTTTTGTAAGATACCATGGAGTTGGTTCCCAACTCAGCGCAGTAGAAGGAAACACTGTTCAGCAGGCTAAGCACTGGACTGCTAACCACAAGGTCAGTGATTTAAGCCCACCAGCTGAACCTTGGAAACCCTATACAGGGTCACTCTGACTTGGAGTCAGCTTAGTGGCCCTTAATAACAACAACAAACTGTGATAGGACACATTTCTGTAAGTTAAAGCCATTCACTTGGATTTCTGTTACAGCAACACCAGAGAACTAAGACAAGGGGTTAGGAATTACCACATATCTTTTGTTTTTGTTAAGTACCGTCCAGTCGGTTCCGACTCATAGTGACCCCTGTATAGGGTTTCCAAGGAGCGACTGGTGAGTTTGAACCGCCAACCTTACAGTTCAGTGTTTACCCTATAACAGCACACCAGTGCTCCACACAAGTTCTGGGAGGACCCAAATCAATACTTTCGTTATTGAAGCATTTTCTGGGAAATGATTGAATGATGCAGAAAGCATCAAAAGAAGATGGATGGAATACACAGAGTCACTGTACCAAAAGGAAATGGTTCATGTTCAACTGTTTCAAGAGGTAGCACATGATCAAGAGCCAATGATACTGAAGG